GTTTTGCGGACATTTGTCCAGTTTAAATTACTCAATCTCAAGGAACAAGATGTAATAATGCTTTTGATTGAGTTTTTGACGTGTGTTGCATATTAATTTGAAAATTACATGTTTTGAGTACATTGGTCATTCATTTAGAACCATGTAATTGAGATTACAATGCAATGGATCCATAGGGCATGTGAGTCAGCCGTTTTGATAAGTAAACAGTTTTGATGTTCTCATTTTGAGACCAATGCTCGAGTAAGCATTGTGGTCGTGTTGGTATTTCAGAGACGAACCCATATAGGATTGAACTCCGGGATCGTGTCAGTATTGTTAGGATAAACTCTTATTAGTCGGGCTTAGATACTGTAGGTATTGCAAAGGGGATCTCTTGCTGAGTGGACCTTGAGTATACGATGATGAACTCATGAGGAGTCAGGCGCCATGACTCTTGTGTTTTAGGTTTTGGCCTCATAGATCAGTGTCGTTACATGTATGGACGGTTATCCATATTTGTAGTTTTGGTATATTGGACCCTATCCATGTTTTGGTGCTTTGAATAATAGAGTTTTATTCTTGTTTTCAGTATTTGCTTATTAAACTTTATACACGATTTGTGTGAGTGTTGAGTATTGGTTTCATACTAAATGAGGGCTTTGATTAACGAGTTTTCTTCATGAAAATAATGGATATTGGTAAGATGTTGTTTTTATAATAAACATATTTTATTTTTGGAAATGGCGATTTAAATTGCATTTTTTTTCAGTTTAAACATTTTATATTAATGATGAAAACTGCTTAAACTCACTAGGTATTAAACTTAACACTTTTTATTTGTCGGCATGTACAGTTCCTTGTTGGGGAACTATTTTAACAACACTGTATTGCGTTGCGTGTTAGTTAGAGGCACGAGGAATCAATTATTTGGGGATGTCTTCCATGCCTTGGAGATAGCAACCATTAATGGGTTTTAGTAACACCTACCCCTAACCTAGACGTTGTGTAAGGTTTGGTTTGTAATTCATTGATGTTAAACCTTAAATTATCAGTTTAGGTAATTCGAGTATTATCCTTTAGAAATGAATTTATCTGTGTATTACAAAAAATTTACATTAGACATTTTTTTTCCAGATTTTTGGACTGTTTACACAGAAACTTGGATATCGTAAAGCTTTTTTGTTTGGCTTTTTTTAAAACAAACATAAATAATATTTCTAATCGTAATTAATACAAGAAACATAAATAATATTTGTAATTGTAAAGCTTTTTAATTTGGCTTTTTGAAACAAAAAAGCGACATTCACATGAAAAACTTCACTTACAACCTTAAACGGAAAAAATGTTTTCTTTATTAATAGTTTTTTTTTCCTAACAGCTTATCTATACTATCTTATAAAGCATTTGATAAAAAAATTTAAAAACCATTTTTTATGCACAAAGTATTCTTTATTAATGCATGTTACTTAAAACTCAAGATTACAAGTAGATTGTGCGTAAATACAACTTATTAAAGCTCCATATCTGAATTCGTATAACTAACTGCAGATAAACATAATCAAATACAGGATAAACATCTTATTTTAAATATAAAAAATCTAAAATATAATTAGGATAATCATTGAGTTCTAACAGAATACTTAATTATTATCTTAATAAAATATTATATTATTAAACTAAAAATATATTATTTCATTATTAAACTTAAACTAAATTATAATAAAAATAAATTAATTAAAGAAATTATATAAAAAATAAGAGTTTTTAAATAGTTGATTTGATATTAACATTGATATATTTTTTTTTTCAAATTTTTATGATATCTTCAAATTTATATTTTATTCAAAAATAAAATCATTATTGTTTTCTTAATAACACATAAAATCGTATTATAAAATCGACAAAAATAAAGAATAAAATAGAACATTAAAATCGAGATGTATCTAGCTGCATTGCGCGGGTACTCTTCTAGTATAACATAAGTATAATCACTTACTGGTTAAGACTTTCAGTCCTTGTCTTCATGCTTACCAGGTAAGATTCTTGGTCCATGTCATACTCATCCGGTAAGGAATTTGACTGGGTAAGCTCTTACCCGAGTAAGAATTCTGTACACAGCCCCTAATTTCTCATCTAGTTTATCAAACATAGCATAAAACAAATTATTATTATCAAACCATAAATTATTATACTTGAAATGTACTTGTTTTTTTTTTTAAGTTTCAAATACAAAGATTTCAAGAAAATTATAAACCAATTTTTTGTAACAAAACGATTCAACAAGCAACATACCTATTTATCTACTAATTTATTTTCACATATAACTTATATTCTAATATTCTATTTATTATTTAACCTCATTTTAATATAGACAAGTATAGATATAACAACACCCTTATATTATATAATAAAATTTCTAAAAGCAATAATTATATGATACGATATTTGAATTCCAAAATACGTAAATGCAACTCACTTGTTCCACTAGACCAGGGGTGCAACCAAACTATGTGTATACAGGGCACGAGTTATCGTTGTGCTCCTCTGTGTAGTGTAAAAGATTTAGTGATGTGAAAGGTGACACCGTATTGTTTTGTTGTGTGCAACCGAATATATTTTAAAACTACGATAAAAGCATAAGTTTTTTTTGGTAGAGTTGGTTTTTGATGACTATTCCCCATCTTAGGTGCAGGTTTGAATTTTGCTTGTGTTAATTTCTTAGTTTTTAATTTTTAATTTATCACGTTTCTAAAAACAATTTGTAATAGAACACTTAAATAAATTACCTCGTATGAAAAATAAAGAACCAACTAACAAACAATAATGATTTTGTGAAAACTAAACTCATACCAACCAATATCATAATTGAATGCCTCCAAAATCGATGTCCATTGCATTTTGCAATAAATTAAGTGCTACATTAATTCTACTATGCCCCAAAAATCTACACATGCATTTGTCTCCACAATCTTTGGCTTAATGTAACATAATCAAAGGTTTGTTTGTTTTCCTTTTAATATTTCTATTAAGAGGCAACTTTTGAAGCTTGAAGAGGTGAATCTTGTTTGACAAAAAAAAAGCATGCCTCTTAATGGTTCTAAAACCCTCTAAATGATTTTATATCTTGAATCTCCCTTAACCATTAAGAGCCTTAATTTCATTGTACATAATTACCAAACAATTATATTTCATTTTGCATTATATCATGAGGATTTCTTAATCATTCTGACCACTTAATTATTCTGCACCAAATTATTCAGCAATTGGCAAACAGCCCAAAGTTAACTGTTAAGCAAACCTTTCTATTTTACCAACTAAGCTACCCCAAAAGATGGGTTTGTCTCAAAAGAATTCAATTGATGAAACCAAAGACCTTATCAATTAAGCTACCCCAAATGACTTATCTGATTCATTCTTAGAACGCTCATGGAAGTTAATCTTGTAATACAAAATACAATGATTCAAACTGCAAACCTTTAGGCGTTCGAACCTAATGTGTTGTTTGTTTACCTCTTAATAGTTTCGTTAAGAGACAATCTATGAATTGTTAAGAGAAGAATCTTGTTTGGCAAAAAAAAATGTCTCTTAATGGTTCCAAAAACCCTCTTGTATCTTAAGTCTCCTTTAACCAATCAACACTCTAATTTCGTTGTAAATAATTACTAAACAATTATATTTCATTTTGTACTATATCATGAGCGCCTCTTAATCATTCTATACCAAACCATTCAACAAATATCAAACAACCCCCAACAGACAATCATTCGGTCTTGAAACGAAATTTTGAATTAATGACATGTATTTTCGATGATTGTTACATACAATTTACCAAAAAGAGCATATAGATATATTAGTGTGTTGTTAAAGCTAGAAACCTAAGTTCATAAAGAAAAGGAACTCCTACAAATGCTCACCATAAAGTGTTTTGTCACAACTTTAGGAGGACAAGAGGAACTTCAATACAATCTTTAAAGGGCTTCTTTTGAAGTTAGGGGGTGTTTGGGTAAGCTTATTTAAAACAACTTATACTTTTTTGTAAAAGTGCTTATTAACTTATGCGGTATCAAACTGGAGTTTTGTAAAAAGTGTTTGGATTAGCTTATAGCGGTACCAAAATGCAAAATGACCAAAAAGGACAGCTCATTTTTAGGTTATATTTGAAACCCTAGAATCGTTGGAAGTTGGTTGAAGAAAAAGGGTTCATATTTGAAACCCTAGAATCGAAGGAAGAAGCAGGAAGAAGGAAGAAGCAGGAAGAAGGAAGAAGAAGGAAGAAGCAGGAAGCGAAGGAAGAAGCAGGAAGAAGGAAGAAGCAGGAAGAAGGAAGAAGAAGGAAGAAACAGGAAGCGAAGGAAGAAGCAGGAAGAAGGAAGAAGGAAGAAGCAGGAAGCGAAGGAAGAAGCAGGTATATCTTCTACCCTATACCAAAATGCAAAGCGAAGGAAGAAGCAGGAAGCCGGCGATGAGAAACCAGAGGACTTGCCGGCGATGAGAGGGGAGAGACGGATGCGATGAGAGGAGAGACGGATGCGATGAGAGGGTTAAAAGGGTAATATGTCAAATAAGTCAAGATGGAGTAACTTATCAAAAACAACTTATTACCGGTTTGGCACCGGTATAAGCAGTTTTTTTTTTTTCACATCCAAACACTCAAAATAACTTATCGGCGGTTGTGGACTGAAATAAGTTGATAAGCACCTTAAATAAGCTTTCCCAAACACCCCCTTAATAACATTGTCATTGTGTGTGTGTGTGTGTTACAACTTACAACTATCCATGCATCAAGGTACAAGTAAGTAAAGCAGCACAACTCATTCTAGTCTGGTAACAAAGATGTAATCATAACAGAAGAAAGGAGTTGTCACTGTCAGCAACTATAATAAAAATTAAGAACCAAATCAAGATTTTTGATAATAATACAAAGGCAGAAGGGAGAGTAGAGATGAAGAAAATTGTCTTGAAATTTCCCAAATCTTTTAAGATCCAAAGATTTGTGGGCTCTGGATCAACAAGGGAAATTAAGCATTCAAATATATAGATTCATTCATTGCTTAAAGATTCAAAATCAAACACATATTTCGACTAAAAAATTTATACAATCCCCAACTTGAAAACCCTTTTTCGATCATCGCTTACCTTGATGAAACAGGGTTCAAAGCTCTTGCAAATCCATTCATGGCGCCGTAACTTTTAGAGCTAAACCCTAGACACCCCAATAGACCTTGCTTGTAGGGTAAATATGTTTTCTTCCTCAGCTCTTCTGCTTGTGCTCGATTCGTGGTGTAATGTAGCTCGTGTGCTGAACGCGCCACCCTCCTTTTTCCGGTTACTCCCACCCCATTCACGGCCTTTCTGACGGTGGTTTTTGCCCCTTCCGCCGTGGAACTTCCGTCTCCGGTAGTGGCGGTTGTTGCTTTATTCTTCACGGCGGATGTATCAGATGATTTCTTGTCTTTGTTAGTTGAAGGGGAAAAGGACAATGAGGTCCAGAACTTGTGATTGCCATTGCTACTTGTACTGCTTCGTCCTTCGCTCTTGCTTCTATATAGAAATTCCTTCAAAAACACCCACCGTTTTGAGCTCCGGCCGACGGAGGACGACCGTGAAGATGCACCAGACGGCGGAGTTTCGGCATCTTGAACATCTTCGTCAGCTTTTGCCTTATCTTCGGCTTCCAGTTTCTCCTTGATCTCATTGATTTCCGTTGATTCTCTACCGTCTTCAAATTCCTCCAGCCATTGAAATGCGTTGTTAGTCCTCAACGGTGACATAGATCTAGCTCTTCTCCTTAACGACTTAGATCTGTCTCGAAACTTCAAATCTCTGCCTCTCCCAAGCTTATCCTCGTCGTCACTGCCATCTCCGATCTCGTTCTCATCAACATCAAGCAATGGAGCTAGTACCTGAGGACGTTGGAGGTGAGAGGACAGCTTCATCGGCCGGATCTTACCGTTTAAGAAGAGTTCATCAGCAGAAGTCATGGATCCAGTGGGAAGTGCTCCATGAGCGGCTTGCTTGGCAGTGAACTCGAACTCAAAAGATCCTCCAGCTCCTTCAAGAGGAGTAGAAGAAGTGGAGTTTGAAGAGCCTAGATTGGAAGACAACATAAAGTGTATAGGGCTAGCGGGAGCGCTGTAGAAGAATCCACCGCCGTAGGAAGAGGTCGGACCACGGCCGGGACTGGAAGGAGCACTAACAAAAGGGGTAGAACAAGCGCTGTCAAAGTCGTCGGAGAATGAGATGAGATCAGCGGCATTGTTAGCAGGAGTTTCAAGCTCCTCCATTGACGAGAGAGAGAGAGAGAGAGAGAGAGAGAAGAGGAAGGTGATGATGGGAAAGGGTTGGCAGGGGGGAGTTGTTATTAAGCATTTATTTTCCCAAAAGCTAACCACTATTTATTCATTTATTTTTATTATTGTTTAGTTCTCGAGGTAAATGTCAATGAAACCACCTCCAATATATTCTCTACTTTTTTTTACTTTTCTTTTATTTTTTTAACTAAAACTACACTTTTGGTCCCTAAGATTCATCAGATATCAAGAATATGGTGTTTTTATTACATTACTTGTTTTTGTTTAATTTAAGGTAATTTTGTTCTATTAACATTTTTCTAATTTTCTAACAACAATATATGTAGCCTATTCAAATAAGAACTAATTAATTTCTGTTAATCGTGAGTTCTAATTTCAACCATAAATTAATAGATAAATTAAGAAATTTATAATTTTAATAATTTTGAATTGAAATTTTAATGCAAAAACATTTTAGTTAGTTTCTCTCATCTCTCCTCTCTCAGTCCCCCGTCCTTTGGCCACCGTCCTTCTGTGACACCATAGTCATCATAATGCATCTTATATGTGTTTGAGTATCACACTGAGATCGTTTGTGCGGTCGATCGAAGATATAACACAGTGGTATCACAATGCATTTTATATGTGCTTGGATATCACACTGTATCTTTTGTTTAACAGAGTCAATATTTTTAGATATCACAATAGCATCACCGGAGGACGAAGGACGGGGGACGGAGAGAGAAGAGAGGAGAGATGAGAGAAAATACTTAAACTAGTCAGTTCTCCCTTGAATTTTCTAATTTATCTATTGATTTGTGCTTGAGATTGAATCTCACAGTTACCACAAACTAGTCAGTTCTCCCTTGAATAGGCTTATATATATATATATATATATATATATATATATAATCTCATATTATTAAAATTTCATTTTTTATAAATTATATAATTATAATCATCTCATTAACACCTTTAAAATAAATCAATATTGAATATATTAAATTTTATCATGTTATTAAATAATGTATTGAATTATTTTAAAACTTATATTTAATTTGTTTTATATTTCTTAATTTTTAAATTTATCTATCTATACTATCTATATTATATTATAAAACATGATAAACGATTATTGAATTTTTTAAAGGTATACATTTTGATTTATGTGCAATTCTTGAACATTTACAACCTCCACGTTCAACATGATAATTAAAAATAAAATAAACTGCTTAAACTCACATAGTAATTTCAATATTCAATATATCATGTCCTTTTACATAGTTCTATTTTGAAAAGTTCGCCTTATAGTTTTTTCTTGTTTGAAAAATATAATGTAATGATATTTTTAATGTTTACAAACACCACTGATCTTTCAAAGATGGGAAGAAGACTGAAGTTGTCAAAACAAAGTTTTCAAATTCTTTTGAGATTAAAAGATGAACTATTTCTTCAAAACAAAAACCCCCTATTTGATGGATGATTTTTATAGGTTTCAGCCTTCGTATTTCTCATCTAATTATTAAAATATCATTTTACTTGCAAACAACGTCATAATTTAAAGTGTAAAACATCTTATAAATAATTAATTAAAATTTTATTTACAAGAAAGTTTCATATTTTGTTGTATTACAACAGTTACAAAACTAGTATATATATAAGCATGCTAAACGGTTAAGAGTTGAAAATTTAAAGGTATTACCCCTTATGTATCAGGTACAAGTATTTAAAGCCAAATAATTTCCACGTTTCAAAGATAATATTAAAATCAAATTATTTTTAATTTTTAACTTCCACTTTGCACCCTTATAGTTAGTTATTTAATTTATTTTGTATCCATTTCTTTTTTATTTTAAACTATTATCATATTAACTAAAGTATATTAAAAAAGAGATTTTCACGAAAAATTACCAGAATATACTTAATGTATTAACAAAATAACCATTTTTACGGGATTTGCCAAACTAACCATATGAATCACCCCTCGGGGGCATGGTTTGACCATGATGGACGATCCTCATGTATGTTGACAAAAAAGGACAAAAAGTACAAAAAAATATAAAATTAATTTGTGGCGTCCACATGTATTTACTTTAGAAAACCAAACACTGTATGCCTCGATATATGGGATCGCCCTCCACCTCATTGGATCTTCCCTCGGGGGCGATCCAGCCTTCTTTTGGGTTGAATCATATTTCGTCTTTTAGTGCAACAAGTTTCATTATAAATACCAACCTCCTCTTTGATTATTTTTCACACCTCATTTTTCATTTCTATTCTCATATCTTCTACTCTCACAACCATTTAACCCTTAAACATAATAAACCATCACAATCCTTAACCCTTAACCCATTAAACACAATCTACCATCACCCTTAAACACAAATATGAAATCACGTCAAAGTGATGATGTTTTGATGTATCTTCGAAGTGGCGGTTCATTCCAAAAGATAACTGGTGTCTTAGAGTACCTTCCGTTAAGCTGCCCCGTACATGTATTACGCTTGTCTTTGCCAATAGCGCATTCTGATTTGGTTAAACGTGTTACAAAAAAGTTAAGTTTATGTAGTCATTTCATTTTATTTTATAAAATGAATTCCTTACAAATATTATACCAGTTAAGCAATGACGACGATGTGCTAATGTTCCATAACGCCATTCGTCAAAGTTTACCAGAAATGTTGACACTCTTTGTGGTCGATGATGGTGGTTATGGTGGACATCCATCAAGTGTCGTAATCCATCAAATTTTACCCCGCGGTCTAAACACTTTTTACCCCAGTGGTGTTAGCGGTGGAAATCCAAGCACTCTCTTCCCCGACGGTAGTGGTGCAAATCCATATGGTCCAAACACATTTTACCCTGGTGGTGGTAGTGGTGGAAATCCAAGCACTTTCTTCCCCAGTGGTGGAAGTGGTGGAAATCCAAGTACTTTCTTCCACGGTGGTGTTGGTGGAAATACATATTTTGAACCAAAAAATATTGTTTATCATGACAGTTATTTGGTTCAAGATTTAAACATGTCTCCGAGACAGTCTCCCAACCCGTACCTGATCTAGTCTCCAGAACAGTTAAAAACTTTGTGGGAGGTAGATATGGCTGAAAATGTTTCTGTTGCTACAGAAATTTTGAATATACTTGAAGACGATAACTTCGATGTTGAAGAAATCCAGCCGGTAAGGAATAATTTTTGAGGTATGCCCAAACCAACACCTTGCCTAGAACCTGTTATCAAAAGTAGACAGGGAAACATTTCCTACCAGCCTACATCATATGTCAAAGTTCTCCAAAACTTTGACTCGAAGGAAGCATTGAAGCTCACATTGGGATTGAAATGCACTTATGAAAACTTTCAGATCAAGGTTAAGAAATCAACCAAACACCGGTATGAGGCGGTGTGTCACTGCTGCTCCGGACTGTGATTGGCGTTTAGTGGTTGTTTTCATTGATGGTACCAGTATGTTTCATGTACAGAAATTGCATGATGAACACACATGTTCAAGGTCCCAAGTTCACCCAAACCACTGTAATGCGAAGAAAAAGGTTTTGGGTCATATATTGGCAGGGAGTTTAAAGAATTGTAGGAGAGTGTACCGTGGAAAAGAAATTATGGAAGATGTGAACCAACGGTTCAATATTAGCATCTTCTACAGCCAAGCATGGAGAGCAAAGATGTATGCTTTGCAACTGTTGAGGGGGACCCCTGAATCGTCGTTTAACCTACTCTCGGTTTATCATATGCAAATTCGCTCATTTCTAGGACAGCTGAGACTGCTCCTTATAATGACGGTGCCCATCTGAAGGGGCCATATGTGGGCACCATGTTCTTAGCGGTCAACATGGATGGAAACAACGAGATCATACCCATTGCAATGGGAATGGGGAAGACAGAAAGTGGCCCATCATGGATATGGCTTTTACATAAGCGGAGGCAGCGTATCAGTGAAGTGCCCAATGTAACCTTCATAACCGATAGGGCTGCCTCAATCGACTTGGCTATACGAACTGTATTCCCCAACGCGCACTACAGACTTTGTTGTCGGCATCTGAGCCAAAACTTGCGCCTAACCTCTAGTAAAGATAAAAGAAAAAGGTGGATGTTCTGGGAGGCATGCAAAGCTTATAGGATGTCGGACTTTGAAGCTACTATGGATTTGATGCGACACACTCTATCTAACGTCGCTCAATATCTTGAGGAATGTAACACCCCAACTTCCACATTGCATATAACAAATAATTCATACAAAGAAATACATGTTTAAACCCACAAAGGTCCATAATACAAGAGACTACATTACAAAATACACAACCAGAAAATTCCAAAATACATGCTCTTGTACTACATAACATCTAATTTCCAAAACACATCCATTGATCTTCATATAGCTATGCACATAGGAAACAAATCACATTTTCCCTTTTCCCTTACTATCATTATACTATGCATTTCCTGCAATACATATGTGAAACACAAAATAAGGGTTAGACCTGAAGGTCTAGTGAGATCCCTTTTTCCATGTAGTTGCAGAGTGAAAATCACCAAAACATTATTCAAATAAATCATTTCACATAATAAGATGTAAATCCATATTCTGTTTGTGTTCATCGGTCCTCTGGTTCTAAAGACAAGACTTAGAAAATATTTTATAAGGCAACAGGACCAAAGCTCCTTTGGTTCCTCTACTAGACTAGAGCTTCTGGTTAAGCCAACAAGAATTTCTTACTCAAATGGAATCCTCATAAACATTCATAGACTAACACCATAGATAATTAAAATAGTTTTTCCAAGTATAAAAACATATATTAAAAATGATCTTGTATGACCAGAGCTCTGGTTCTACTAGCCAGAGCTTCTGGCTCAAAATGTAAGACCAACCAAAGACCTTATGGTTCAACGCGCATGCCAACCAGAGCCCCTCTGGTCTGTCTTCGTTGTAAGAAAAGTTTCTAAGTATAAAATCTTTGAAACATCTTTTAAAATATAGTTTTGACACAGAGCTCCTATCTAATAGATACAGAGCCTCTGGTTTAAGTAAAAGCT